TGAGAGGCACATTATTATTATTTTTTTGCTATTTCAGAGGCGTCTAATTTTTCTGATTGATCTAATTTAAAAAATAAAGTCCAAGTTGTGGATAATAGTGCTACAGTTCCCATAACCCCACTAGCCTTCCACTGCTTCCAACCCGGGGAAGGCAGGAGAAGAACCAGTAGCAATGGGAGTGGAGTGGGAGGGAGTATCTGCTGCTAGTGAGCCATGGTTACCCTCTTTCATAGATGGCACTCCTCACCTTCCCCTGCTATCAAGGGTTCTGTGGAGAGATCTTACTGTCAGGGGGCTGGGGGTGAGTCTGACTTAAGAGTTCATATTGTGTTTCCTTCCTGTTGTGAAAAGTGATAGAACTGGGAAGGCTGGTAGATATGAGGCATGGGGAGAGGGTAGAATTTTTGCATGAATTGCTTCTGCCACATCATTTTCTTGAAATTTCCTTCACTGTTTATCATGGGACCACTCATAATGGGTATGAGTCCGAGCTTACGAAATGCTCCTGAGTCTTCTATTTTTAAGTCACCAGCTCATATCTGGCCTAGGTCATTGGGACCCACAGTTGTAACCACATGAAGGCTCTCCAGTGGCTAATGTAATGTGGTGATACCAATACACTTCCTAGAGAAATCACCATCACATTTGTCAGTCATTGGCATCTTCGCCAAAGGCCAAGGTCCTAACAGGCACAAATAACAGATTAACTTCGCCCCTTAGAGAGTGATCCTTTTGGTTCAGGTTCAGGTGTGTTGATAGGAAGTTGTGGGAGAAGGCTGAATGTGCATCTCATCTGTGAATGAACTAGAGCTGGTCAGATTTTTTTGAATTTTGAAATGTTGATGAAATTCTGAATGTCAACATTTAAAAATGTGACTAAAGCAGAGAAATTGAGAAAATGTTCACTTCGTTTTTTCCCATTTTTGATTAACCGTAGAGCTGGTTAAAATTAAATTTTTAAATTTAATTTAAAATTTGAATTTTAAAAAAAACAGGAAAAATATTTGAAAGCATTTTTGCAAATAGTTTTCCCGTAAAAAAATAAAAATCTAGGATTAACACAGAATTTCAGCCTGCAAGTCTTTCACCAGCACTACATTCATTCATTGAAGCATATACAATATATATAAGCAGCACATGTTCTATATATTGGACATACGTGGCTCATATCTGACCAAACAGCAGGTAGAGCTCTTTCATTTATCATTCCACTCAGACATGTGAAACATCTATATGCTTTCTGCATAGCTTCCCCTGAAGGGGGAGAGAGAGGACTGGAATAGCAGAGTTTAATGCAGGTCAGAAATGAAATATATTGACCTAGCTATGACAAAACCCAGAGCTATGACACACAGTTATGAGAGAGAGGTGCTAGGGGTTTGGAATTTAGGAGGCATAGCAGAGTTTGGGATTAGGGGCACACTGACCCTAACCGAATTCTTACCAGTGCTATTGGCCCTTCATCTTCGTGAGTGATATAATAGACTGAATTTAACAAAAAGGAGCATCCCCAACCTCTGTGCATATAACTAGACATGGAAGGATTAGATTTTTATCAGTAAATGTCAGTAAACATCGATTTCACCTTACACACACAAACCAACAGAAAAATATTTCCATCAGTGATAACTGAAATTTGCAGGTAGGCAAAGTGAGAAAAGTACTGCTTGAGAACTTTTGAGAGTGAAAATCCAACGATCTAGACTTTTGAATTAGCCTTATCACAAATGGACTAGGACAGTGGTTCTCAACCCAGAGGATGTGTACCCCTGGGGAGGTACATAGAGGTCTTCCTGGGAGTACATCAACTCATCTAGATATTTGCAACAGGCTACATAAAGAACACTAGTGAAATCAGTACAAACTAAAATTTAATACAGACAATGACTGGTTTATACTGCTCTATATACCTTACACTGAAATTTAAGTACGATATTTATATTCCAATTGATTTATTTTATAATTATATGGAAAAAATGAGAAAGTCAGCAATTTTTCAGTAATAGTGTGCTGTGACACTTTGTATTTTTATGTCTGATTTTGTAAGCAAGAAGTTTTTAAGTGAGGTGTAACTTGAGGTACACAAGATAGATCAGACTCCCAAAGGGGTACAGTAGTCTGGAAAGGTTCAGGACCACTGGACTAGGGAATGAATAGTAAAAAAAGGTATGATTTGTTGATTTAAGGATACTTGCTTTGTATATTTTGACATGTGATATTGACAATTTGTGCTTTAATTGTTCATAAAAAATTTCTTTTTGAATCTCAATGTCTACAGTTATTACATAATTGTCTGATATTCCCATAATTCCCACAACTGTGAAATTTTAAATAAAAATCTAATAAAAGCTTAAAAATAAACATTGATATTATCTGTCAGAATTATCCAAAAAGAAAAATGGAGTTCTGCCAACCCTACATATAACTAGCCCTTAATAACAGTCCTGTGAGAGCAGTTTCTGAGACTGATGCAAGGATAACTACTGCAAAAGGCAGAAGGACACATAGTCTGCCTGGAGCTTTGAGAGGTTTCCAGTTACCTTTCATTATATCACCACCACTTACTTTGCAAAGCACTGTTATCACTCATCACCATATCCTAATGCTGAGACAGGAAACCTTTAATCCATCTCCCCTGTTGGATGAAACTTTCCCAGCACTCAGTTGCAAGATGAGATCGATCCTGGATCCCAGTTAAAGAACAGTAATCAAATAATGCATTGCCACCTCATTATTATCCAACTTCCATAGCCCACTACAAGACCCAGGCCTCTTATACTCTGTGTCCTTCATTATGCTGAACTGTTAGGGCAGGAACCTCCCCACATTGGGTCAGTACAGACCTGGCACATGTATGATCAGCTTGTATCTCTCAGGGACTGTTGTCCTCGATGGCAGCATTCAGAGGTTCTTTTCTGGGCTTTCACTGGTCATTCACGAGCTTTAGAGTGTGCTGAAGGTGTCAGACCAAAGTATATGTTCATCCCAATATTTATTTCATGTCTGATACTTGTTGTGTCCCAGGTCACCAGGAGACTTTAATTAATACACAAAGGGCTTGATTTACCAAGTGCCCTCCAGTTTGTCAGATACAATTATTTACTGGTATAAATGCTACCACTCAGGCATCTGATTATCCATTTGCCCCTACTGTAAGGCATCTAAATGGCGCATGTTAATTATGTGTACAAAACTGGAGGCCAACCTTTAGGCCCTTTTAAAAGTGAGGGCTTAAGGCTTGATGTTAAGATAAAGAACTAGCAGTTTTACTGAATGTCTCCCACTTTGCTGGAGGTCTGAGCAGAGCTGCCTAATGCTCCCAAAGTGACTACTGCAGCAAGCACTGACTTTTACATAAAACCTGAACTGAATTGTTCAGGAGCTGTTGCTAATTGATGTCCCCTAGACTCCTGGTTGGGAACACAAAGGGGGTAATTTCCAAAACATTGTAACTTTATGTTTCTGCAATAGAGTCTAGGGTCACTGCCCTGTTCCTTTAAACAAGGGGTTAACAGGAAGTGCTCGACTTCCCCTCCCCATGTGCTTGTTCCCATGAGCAGGACTATATGAGTGTCTAATAAAGGGAGGAAAGGGGAGATAATGCCTTTGAGAAGGTTAAGTTTCACCCTAAGAGTCACAGGACTGGGTTGACCCTCAAGCTGGGGTTTTTATTGTTCGGTTTCTGATTGTCTTTCTTGTCAAAAAACACTTAACCCTTGCTGACCGTGACTGGTTTTTGTCTCATGCTGACTCGTTTCACCCCCTGACAGCATAGGTGCTGGAACTAGGAGTGCGGGGGGCGCTGCAGCACCCCCTGACTTGAAGTGGTTTCCATTATATACAGGGCTTGCAGTTTAATTCAATGGCTCTCAGCATCCCCACTATACAAATTTTTCCAGCGCCCCTGCCTGACAGGTTCCAACAGGTTTATTTTCTGATTGGGTATCGAAAGGGCCCCACTTATCTGCAGGAGGAGTTAAGTTCTCAGGTTTGGACCTTTTCTCACACAGGCCCAAAAGACATATATTCTGACCACCCAAAGCAGAGACCATGGAAGGGCAACTGGAACGCCTCATAAATGCTGCCTTTTGTTGTTGTTGTTAAGATGCACCTGCCATATTGGTGACTCAAAAACAGTTTTTAAAAATGACAATACAGACAAAAACCTCACAAATGTTGACCAAAATTTTGTGTCTAAATTTTTAAAAATTAACTGCTACACTATATAAGAGCTATTTAAAAGTGCTTATGCTAGCTAACATGAAAGGGAGATGGTGGGTCCATGACTGCCCCAGGCATGGGTAAGGGAGAAAAGGAGAAGAGGAGGGACAGGTATTTATACCCTTTATCCATGGTAGGAGTTCCCAACCTGGGGATCATGACCCAGTGTCCAAGGCTCACCACCACCTTGCCCATCCCCTATTGCTAAGTAGGAAGGCAGTCAGTGTTAGATGGGAAAGAGGCTTTCAAAAGTGTTGTGAGCCAGTGCTTTGTGGAATTCTGGGCTCAAAGGAATTCCTCATGCCAACTAATTACCCACAGCCACATACCTAGGCAAGCAACTCCTAAAGTGAGGCTCTATGGGGGGGTGGGCAATGCATACAGTGGCCTTCCTTTTCCTGAAAATCAGTCACTGAATTTTCTGGCATTCACAGAACATGTTGATACTGCTGTTTCCTGCCTCACGAATTGGTATCTGATATCCCAGCCTTAAATGTCATCTGAGATCCCACTTCTACTGAGTACCCTGCATTTCTGTTGTTTTCCATAGAAGCTGAAAGATGTTCGGCACCTCTTCAGGCATTGCAGGTTCAGGCCCTCAGAGGGTCAGTAATGGTTGGTTAATGGTTGCAGCATCCGACAGACTGCATCTCAGACGCTATGTATTCTTCTGCCCCAGGAGGAGAAAAGTAAACTTGTGTGAAGTGAAATAAACAGATCCTGGGGAGAGGGAGCTGCCCTGAATTTTTTTAACCCATGTTCCAATCCTTTCTCCACAGCCACAGGGATTTAAAACCAGAAAACCTACTGCTGGATGAAAAGAACAACATCCGGATAGCAGACTTTGGAATGGCATCACTGCAGGTCGGGGACAGCTTGTTAGAAACCAGCTGTGGGTGAGTGGCTCAGACTGTATAATAGAAATCAGAGATTGGCAGAGAACTCTTGGAACAGCCACTCACGCGCTCTCCCCGAGTAGAGACTTACTTGGACACATCTAGCTTTGGGCTAACATTTTATTTGTAGGATGGGGGATCATGACCCAGTGTCCAAGGCTCACCACCACCTTGCCCATCCCCTATTGCTAAGTAGGAAGGCAGTGGGTGTTTCACGCATGCGTGTGTGCGTGCATGTGTGTACGGGGGAGATTATAGATGTATAGGCTGTGCAGCCCAGTGATTTCAGTTGTGGTCGCTTACATCAAGCTCGAATTTCCCCAGTACAGTAGTAAATCCATAAGCTATATATAAGATATGTTAACTAGACCAATATTCTCAAAGCTGACTAATGATTTAGAGTGCCTCAATTTTTGGAGGTCCAACTTGGAATGCATTAAAGGGGCCTGGTTTTCAGAGGGTGAGTACTCGATTTCTGAAAATCAGGCTCCTTTAAGATGTCTCAGGTGGACACAAAAACTGAAACACTCAAAATCCACATCACTCCTGAAAATGTTGGCCTATCTCTTCTTTCACTGGCCATATCACATTCTTGGGGAACTGAAAATTGATAAAACAATCGTGATCATTTATCAAGAGTGGATTTAAAAAAAAATACCTGGGGAGAAAAAAATTAAAATGATTTGTAAGGGAATTTGTGTCCTGCTCAAACTGTCTGTTGTACATCTCAGTCTCGTCACTTTTTCTTCATCCTCCCCACAGTTTCACTGCTTGTTCACAAATAGCACCAGGGTGGAAGGCAGTTGGGTTTTGCATGGTTACACATAGGGTGGGAATCTAGGATACAAACAATAAATGAGACAGAAGGTTTTAAAAATATTTTGCATTGCTTTAATTGTCAATGGAACAGCTGATTTCTGATCAAATTTATACCATTACAATTCATATGTAAACCCATTAGATATGACAGCCTTTCTAGGGAGTTCCAAGTCTCTAAAGCAGCCAAAAATAGACACTAAAAATTATTACAAAGAGAAACTGAATACCAGGTTCCCTAAATAGTCTTCTTAAATCACTGAAACACATAAGAATGAGATCCCCCATTTTTCAGGCTTCTCTAAGTGGTAGTGCTTAGCTTGTAGTGACTCAATTGTAGATTACCCCAGCTCACCACTTGTGGAACCTGCTGTACACTAACACCACCTACTGGTAGTACTAGGGAATTGCTTTCCTGACCACTTGCTGTCCAATGAAAGGTCACTTATGAGCTGCCACTTCCAATTGAAGAGAGTTCTCATCAAACAAGTGGTAGACTGAACAACAGCATGAAGGGGCTACAGCTGCATTATCCATATATGGGATTTCACTCAACACAAGTTTTGTATTTTGGTATGAATTTGGTTCTCATCACAATGAGCTCAGTGTTTTCAGCGATGGATAGTGCAGTCGGGTTCATGGTCTTCCTCCCACACAGCTCTGTTCACTCCTCGCCTTCAGCACTTCTGCAATTGCAGTGTTGAGGGTCCCACACATATTGACACCAATCCTGACCTGTAATAGTCCCTGATCTTCCAATCTAACATCCCCTCACAGCTATGCCAGTCTGGATGTGCAGCAGCCCCAACTATTCCAGTTTGCAGCCCCCTCGCAAGTGTGTCTGTGCACCTCAACCTGAACATTCAGCACCTCTTCCATTCCAGTCTTGGGTCCCCACACAATGCTGCCTCTGCATTTCAAGCCTGACTCATTCTTCCCTTGTTTCTCCAGTCCTGAACCTCTCCTGGGCAAAGGAGGCCAGGAGTGAATAATTGTGTGATGTTTGTGGTGTGGACAAATACCTGTTGATGAATTGATTGCGATCCACCAGTTCTTTACACTTGTACCCCAAGTCAGGATTTGAACTCATACCTACATAGATGAAAGGTGAATAACTGTGAGGCTCCATTGTATTGCTAGCAATGCTGCTTTCAAACCTACTTTCTCAGGAAAGAAATGAAATTCTCACCTCAGTTATTGCAACACCTCTATGTACTTCTAAGGAAACTTTCTTTCCTCACCCAAACAAACAATCTTACCTTGCCTTCCAGGATTTTTCAAATTCCTAGGGAACCACTCAGCAAGGATCCAGAGCTTGTTAGCGGATGGCACTGTCAGCCCGGCCTAGTCTTGAAGGGAGACCTTCCTTCCATCAGCAGTGCTGGAATTCAAACCTCAGTGCCTCAAGCAGAGCAAACCCCCATGTTGCTGCCTTAAAATGCACTAATAAAGAAATCAATGGAATGGAAGAGACATGCCTGTAATAAACAGAACACAGCAACGCTGTGATCCCCTGCCTTGCAGATGCATTTTAAGAACGGCGCCAATCACTGGGCCTCCATGTGAGCTATTACACCACTTCATTAATTCTCCTGGCATGGGGCCCAGCATGGCTGATACTGGTGCCTTGTGATGTGTCTGGTTTAGGGATAAAAGAAAGGAGAGAGGAAGGAATATATAATGGCATGCCACATATTCACAAAGAAAGGCAGTAGATTTCTGTCCTTCCCTTGTAGAGTTCAGTAACCAGCATCAGAGCTTTTCAAGGCAACAGTTTTACCTTCACTTGCTCCACAGTGTGTGGCTGGTGTTTTCGGCCATTGCGAAAATACAAAAAATGGCTGAATTGTGGCTGAGTTATTGAGCTTTAACGAGTGGCTTCTTCGGGCATCCAGAAGTTAATTTGCAGAGGGTTTTTGTCTGTGCTGTGAACATGGATAATGGCATGAAACAGTAACATTCCCATTGCTAGTCATGCAAAGAGTCTCTAGGTACTTCAGTCAGTGGAAGCATGAGGATCAGATGGCATTCATCGATGTGGGGAAGCTAACTTTTTAATGGTGTGGCATAAGGATTTGAGTGTGAAGTCACAGACCCTTATTCGATGCAGGTTGAGCTTCCTAGTATGACGTATAATTTGGATGCATTTCAGGTCGACAAGCTCCGATTGGCATCAGAGGCAACGCTACATGGCTCTGAATGTTACCTTCATGTAGCTGCTGATATTTAGTATTCCATGCCTCAGTTTTACTGTTTGATGGGAATTACTCATTAGATCAGCACAGATTGTTTTCTATAGCACTGATGGCTACAGATAAAAATGTCCCTGAAGGAAATGATAAAAGTGCAATCTGATTGTGTTTATGTGTGTCGGAGGACATGGAAGAGGAGCAGGGGGGTGGACTAGCTGTTTCATTGACATAATTGGTCACTAACTGACTGTGTGTCAGGCCTTGGTTGTAATAAATCCCCATTACTGGAAACCTGTATCTCTCAAATCCTCAAGCACAGTGCAGAGGACTAACCAACACGTGTCCCTAGACCCCTGAGACGAGGAGGAATGATGCTTAGGGTCTGCAGGGATGATAATGACACTGACAACACAACTTGCTGCAGAAACTGTACAACAAGGCAAGTCTTCTTCTGGAGAAACAGTCCCTCAAGTGCAGAAGTAACACAGCAAATCTTTGCATTCCTCTAAGAGCTGGGGAGGCCTATGAGCAGACAGCAGATGGAGCTGGGGACTTGTGGGATGCGGCTTTTATTAGTTCAGATTTCTTCATCTCTTCCTGGTCTTTACCCTTCCAGGCAAAGAAAACCCAAGCAATTAAATACTGAGACGCTCTCTCATCCCTCCCACAGTCATTTCTCCACTGTGTGCTGTGTTGTGATAGTGTAGAATGGTAAATGTAACTCAATGCATTTGTCTGTCCCTAGCTCAGAGGAATGATTGGCTTATGGTTAAAGCACTGTACTAGGACTCAGAAGATCTGGGTTCCATTCCTTGCACTACCACAGACTTCCTATGTGACCTTGGGCAAGTCACTTAATCTCTCTATGCTCTGGTTCCCCATCTATAAAAGGGGATGATACTACTTGCTGTCTCCCACCCTTTGTCTGATTTATCTTGTGAGTTCTATAGGGCAGGTACTGTCCCTTGCTGTGAGTATGTATTGTGCCTTGAATAATGATGCCGCAATCTTGGTTGGGGTCTCTAAGTGCTACCGTAGTATATGTTATAATAATTTCTACAGAAATCTCAGAATAGGTATGAGGAGGTTGGGGGATTCTCTGGGACCCTATCCCATCTCAAGATCTTAGAGGGGCAGTCTGAAAAATGGAGGGAATAAAAGGAGACGTTGTCAAGGTATGATTGATGAGAGTTTGTAATCATCTTTCCTGATTTCCTGTTGTTTCTTGTGCTGTTTTAGAAGCCTGGAAATCATTCCCCTCCCCCTTCCCAATTCTTATCCCAGCTCAGAAAAACTGAGTCCCTGACGGAAAGGGATTAACGCAGGCAGCTGAGTGATTGAGAATGCAGGAGCAGTGTTAGTCTCTATGCTGCCTGGCTCCAAATCTCTGTGCCCAAATCTCTGTGCCCAAAACGAACAGTAGCTAAGGGAAAGCAGCTGACACATAAATGTGGCTCGCCCCAACACCTGAAGAAGCAGTCAGTACAGAAATGTATGCTCCTGTTAACCGGTCCTCAATGAGGTCTCCACGGGGACTCCCTGCCCTAATCCAAAAAGCTGCATGGCTGTGGGAAGAATGATGATGATGATTGTCTCTAATTTTATTTAGAATGAGAAAAGAAGTCTTGCACCAGTCACTTTATAATGGAGGAAGAAAAAGCAGCCACTTCAAACCCCAGCTCAGCCAATGCCTCCTGCCACAGCTCTCCCGCAAGACATTTCCCAGTCCTCCTTGCAGGCCCACAGACTCCCTGGATCTATCAAATAAGCATGGCTGCTCAATAGGGATGATTATCAGTTGAATTTAGGCACAGAATGTGTTCTCTTTATCTGCAGCAAGCAAGGTAGTGCTTGATTGCTCAAGGCCACAGCAGAGATTCCTGATTCCCCAATACCTATCTTTGGTGCCTGATCACACCCCTTGCAAGGCAGTAGTTCAAGACAGGAATCTAGTGTTGCCACCCATCCTGATTTTCAGGAGCCAATCCTAGT